CTCAAAACTGATCATGGCACTGGAGGTGCATCGAGAGATCAGCATCAGTGGCGTGGACTTTTCTCTCCTGATGTAATCTGCTTAACCCTTTCCCTTTGTTCACTGCAACATCCCCTTTTCTCCTCCAAAACACAAGCTTTTGCTAATGCATTGTGGCAGGATGGATACCAGCAAGCCCACAATGTAATATCCTAAAATCAGGGGGTTTGTCCTCAAAACCTCTTCACTCACCTCTAGTGTTGAGCATGCTAATTCCCAGTGGGATGCAGGTTGGAAGAGCATCAGGCAACCCTTCACAGGGTGTGAAGCCGAGCCTGTCCTCAAGGGAGAGGACCCCTCCGGTGTGGAGGGCAAACCCCAGCATCCTACACAAAATAACTGGATTTCCACGTGGAAAGTCCTCAGAACCAGATAACGCGGCCAAGAGGGAGGTGGGAAACAGCTGTGCCAGGGCCTGTATCAGCACATTTTGGCACGCTTGTGTGCTGGGATGGAGGACCCCTCAAACGGGGCAGGCATCTGTGTTTCCTCCCGCCTGCCCCCAGGAGTGCTCTGACTGAAAATGGGGAGTTGAATGCAATTTGAAATATAATTTTTATAGTGCTTTTAATTTCTCATAAAGCAGCGGTTAAAAGACTTTGGAGATTAGGGAGCTGCTTATTTTATGATCTAAGGATTGTAAAAACAATCTGCCTCAACCACTGCTGGAACCGGTTACAGAGATGGGAAACGCTTTTGTAGGAGCGAGAGCAGCCCCCTTTTTTGTTGCCTTTTCAGTCGTAATCTCCAAATCTGGGTTGTTACACTCGATTCCCACTACCTCTGAGGTACGGGAGATACGGAAAAATGATCTATAAACCAGCACCAGGAGGTCCCCAAAATGAGCAGGGCAGGGAACTGGGTTACAAGGCACGTAGCAATTACAAAAAGCACGTTCCATGTGCTGTTATATCTTGGGTTACAGATGGATTCTGGAAGACAGCAAACTCATTTCATAAAGCAAATGCCTGGTCTGAAAAAAGCATCACCTCCTCTATTTACAGGTTCACAGCAATATTTGTGGTAGGGTGGTTTTTTCCTCTCTAGAGCTGTTTTTTTTCCTCTTTTCAAGCTGGTTTTCTGGGCTGGAGCCAGAATTCCTTCCTAAATTGAGACATAATTAGATGTGTCCCACTGTGTCTTGCTGGGCAGTTCCTTTAACCTCGATGCCTTATTTCACTTCAGGTTTAAAAAGGAGGTAAGAGAATCTCTCTTGACTGCATAAAAAAGAGCTATGTGGAGCCAAGCAATAAGAATGAGAGTTACAACTAATACCTGGCCAACAACAAGCCATTTAAAAATGACTTTTGCCCTTCCCTGGATGCCAGCCGTGCCATCCACACACACACATGCTGCTGTAAAGCTGCATGAAAAGACTTTCAGGCCTCTAATATGCATCTTGGGAAACAGGTTTTGGCTGGGACAAAAGAAGAGGCTATCCACCTCCATGGACAGGACCAGTGCCTTGCATCTCCTCAAGCCCCTTGGTCTTACCACTGGGGTAATCATAGAATCATAGAACGGTGAGGGTTGGAAAGGACCTTAAGATCATCCAGTTCCAACCCCCCTGCCATGGGCAGGGACACCTCACACCAAACTATGGCACCCAAGGCTTCGTCCAACCTGGTCTTGAACATCACCAGGGATGGAGCATTCACAGCTTCCCTGGGCAACCATTCCAGTGCCTCACCACCCTCACAGGAAAGAATTTCCTCCTTAGATCCAACCTAAACTTCCCCTGTTTTAAGTTTTAACCTGTTACACCTTGTCCTATCAGGTGTAATGAATAGTGTCTCCCTAATGAATAGTGTCTCCCCAGCATCCTTATAAGCCCCCTTCAGATACTGGAAGGCTGCTATGAGGTCTCCACGCAGCCTTCTCTTCTCCAGGCTGAACAGCCCCAACTTTCTTAGCCTATCTTCATATCTGCATCACCCTCAAACCATGCTTAATATACAAATTAATTAATTTGTATATTTGCCTCACCACTCTTAACCAGCTTACACCTTTGGCATTCACAAGAGATTAAAAGAAAAGCCTAATAAACTCCAAGATTGAAACTCTGAAGCCCTGTTCCCACATCACAGACCTCACTAGAAGTGCTCTAACCAGCTATAAAATCCTATTTTAACACAATAAGTTGATGATAAAGTAGGGAAGGCTCTGGTGTCTGGGGAGAGAAAAAGGGCTGGAGGCAAAGACATAAAACTGAATATGCAACTGGTACAATAAGGATGCCGAGATGCATACCTAGGCTTTCAGGTGAAGGATAAAAAAACCCCAAATACACAAAAAACTAAATAAAAACCTTAAAAATGGGAATATTTTGTGACTACACCAGTTCACTCTTGGGATTGGCTTTTCCTAAAACAAAAAAATCTTTAGGCACTGCTTCTGTAAAATGGACCTCCAATTATTCCTAGTGTCAGCAAAGCCACCAGAGAAACCCACAGGGATGAGGGAACGTGGTTTTGTTGCCAAAAAGGGAAGTAAAAGACTGTGTCTGGGTTTACTGATCTAGGGGCTGACAGTGATGGATAGGAAGGTTACAGCACCGGCATCCGTCTCCATTCCCTGCCTGTGACGGCACCTTGGGAAGGGGCTATGGGGGGAGCAGGTCGCCAGCCCAATGCTCAGGTTGGCGTCACCTGCTCTTGAGTGTCTGAGTGCTCCTGGTTTTGTCTCACAAAACACTTGGAATTTAAGGAACCATGCTTTTAAACCTGGTATTAAATGCCATCCCTTTTACTTGTCCATCAAGGGCTTTCAGGGAAGAGATGCTGCTTAGTGACCCACGTTAACGGATGGGGCAGAAAACTGCAGGGTTGCAAGGCTATTGGCAGCCAAAAGAAAAAGAAGGAAGCTATTATTAATGACAAATGCTTCCCATTATCCTCAGGAACATCGCCTGGCCCTCTGGACACTGACTGGGAACACAGCTGTGACTGCTGCAGCCCCAACACGTTGATGGGACACAAATTAGACAGCAAGAATTTCGTGATGAAGGTGTTGCTGACAGTAAAATAAGGCACTGCTTGTGCTGCAACATAGGGTATAGCTGCAGCTTTTGGATGTGATGCATTGAGGAACAAGCTGCTCTAGTGGAAGGTGTCCCTGCCCATGGCATGGGGCTGGAACTGGATGAGCTTTAAGGTCCCTTCCAACATAAACCAGCCTGGAATTCTATGATTAAACAGGGAACCTTCTCCCAGGCTATTCAGCTGAGTGCTGGAAACTGGCAAAAGCCATGAAAAATTTAAATATACTTCTTGCAAACACCAAAATCCTTACTGAGTGACCTCTCTCAGGTATAAACTTCATCTCACTCTTGATGGGTGCAGCTGAACTAAAACACAACCAGTAACACCTTTTATAAAGGGTGGAAGAATATCTTTTGAGATTGTTAAGTGATAGATGATGAAGAAACCAACACAACTGATTTCACTGAGTTACAGAATCACAAAATCAACGGTTTGGGTTGGAAAGGACCTTAAGATTATCAGGTTCCAACCCCTGCGATGGGCAGGGACACCTTCCAGGAGACCAGGTTATCAGAGACAGGAAAAGCAAACTCACTGCTATTTAGGCAAGATACATCCCGAGCTGCAGCTCAACTGAGAGAAAGGCAGATATTTGGGGAAAAAAAAACACCACTTCCTCCAAAATAATTTATCAAGGATTTTATAAACTCTTCATCAACTCTATTGAGCTCTGTGTTTTCCATAGCTGTGGTCACTATTCCATCCTAACATTAATGCCAATAGCAAATCCATCCTACTCATAGGGAGAGAGGTTCCTGCGCAGAAATGTGTTCACCTTGCTTTAGCTTAACTATTAAACTAGTTTTGTCAGGTTCATCCTCTATGTTTTTAGCCCTTTTATTGAGGAGGATAAAAAGCAACTTGAGGGAAATCTTCGGATTCCAGAGCTAATTCAGGTGCAAGTTAGATGAGCAGAAAAGAGCAGGGCTGAGAGCAAAGCCGTGGTGCTGGCACCACAATGCTCCACGCACACCTCTGAAAGGATGCAGTCATTTTAGCACAAGACATCTCCATAACGGTAAGTCTGCAATAAGAGTTTGCTTTGAGAAAGAATTTCTCCATTCCTGGCAGTGTCCAAGTGCAGGCTGGACAGAGCCTTGGGTGCCATGGTTTAGTGTGAGGTGTCCCTGCCCATGGCAAGGGGGTTGGAACTGGATGAGCTTAAGGTCCTTTCCAACCCTAACCATTCTATGGTTCTATGATTCTGTAAGAATTCCCTGCAGCAGACAGAGAAGACAAACAGCTGAGGTCAGGAGAGGACCAGAACTTCTTAGGAACAGAAGCCCAATCACTGTTTTCAGAAAGAGGCATAAGCAAAGGGGATTTTTGTTAGTCCTCCGCATGTTTCACCCATTCCTATTTTTATAATGCTCCATCTCAAAAAGCAGGGACGGTCTGGAAATGTTCTTCTGGCCTCAAGCTGTGCCAGGGGAGGTTTAGGTTGGATACTAGGAAAAGCTTCTTCAACAAAAGGGTGCTCAGGCATTGATACAGGCTGCCCAGGGCAGTGCTGGAGTCACTGTGCCTGCAAGTGTTCAAAACCAAGGCCCTCAGTGACATGGGTCAGTGGTGGCCTTGGCAGTGCTGGGATAAAGGTCGGACTTGATGATCTTAAAGGTATTTTCCAACCTGGTTGAGCCTATGATTCTATTCTATGCAAGCATGAAGGCTGCGTTACAGAGAAAAAGCAAGAGTAAAGCTTTCATCTCTTAGAATTGACCGGGCTACTCTGTCCCGAAGACATCACCAAGTGTCACTGTGCACAGTACCCGTGACCTTTGCAGAGGTTCACCAGCCCCAAATACTTGGCATTGCTAAGAGCCCTGGGGCTTGGGTCCTCACACACACACACACACACACACACACACACACACGCGAGCAAAGGGGAATAAGGAAAACGAGATGCTTTGGGTATCTTACGTTCGCACTCCTCCACGTCCAGGTTGAACTGCTGCAGGGCGCCCAGGGTCAGCTGCCGCACTTCGGCCTCCAGCAGCAGCTGCATCAGTGAGGTGGAGAGGTGCTTGCACGCCGACATGCACGCCGTCTGTGCCACCTTCCCCTGCGGAGGAAAGAGACGCTTCTATTAAAGCCATCAAGCACGATGTGCAGGAGGAACTCCTCCAGACCAGGATATACCAGTCCAACACCTTCCACACGCCCCATCTGCTATGGAACCTTCACTCTTGCAATCACCGTCCTTAAAGGGAATCATCGTCCATTGCTACTAGTAGGATTAGACCTTGTGCCTAGAGTGCCAAGGAGTAGCTCAAATACAGGAGAACCCTGGTGTTTAGAGCTCTGGGCATCTCTCGTTATCGCATCCTAACATAAGCAAGACAACACACCATGGGTTTATTCAACATCCCACATAGATTGCCTGAAGTAACCTTGTTGACAGATCAAAACAGTGCTGATGGACATTCAAAACTCCAGTCTACAACTGAACCAGCGTCCACATATATTCCATACAGGAGTTTCAAATTCACTTTCCAACAGCAGAGGCTCATAGTTCAAGGTTTAGCCTTGCCTACAAGGGAGGAGAGAGCTGGGGCCACACTGCTGTGACAACAGTGTCACCAGTATGTGGATACTGTTCAGCCCTTCCAGCACCATGTGGCACCTTCCAGATGCCAACAGGGACTAAGGAGAAGGAAGCATCACAGCAAGGAGGTGACTGAAGAAGTCATTTGTATTGACATGGAAAGGATTGCTCCCCTGGTCTGGGTAGTGGGGAATAACCTCAAGAACCTGGATGCATCCTGCACCCGCCTGCATCACAGGGAATGTGGTTTGCAGCCTTGAGAAGGACTTGGGGGTGTTGGGTGAGGAGAAGCTCCCCATGACCCAGCTTCAGTGAGCGCTTGAGCCCAGAACCCCCCCGTGTGCTGGGCTGCACCCCCAGGGTGTGAGCAGCAGCTCAGGGAGGGGATCCTGCCCCTCTGCTGTGCTCTGGGGAGACCCCCCCTGCAGCCCTGATCCAGCTCCGGGGCAGCAGCACAAGAGGGACGTGGAGCTGTTGGAGCGAGGCCAGAGGAGGCCATGGAGATGCTGCGAGGGCTGGAGCAGCTCTGCTCTGGAGCCAGGCTGAGAGAGCTGGGCTGGGGCAGCCTGGACAAGAGAAGGCTCCTGAAGGGGAGACCTTGGAGCCTTCTCCCAGTCTATCCCTAGTAGGAGGCAATTAAACAGTGGACTGATGGGGAGTAAGCCACAGCTGAGGCTGCCACACAGGCAGAAACTACTTAAATCCCTCAAAAGGCTCACATCTATAATGGAAGTATGCAAAGTGCTGAGTTTCAGATATAAAGGAATTTCAGAACAGTGTCAGCTAACAATTTCTGACACATTTTCTCTTAGCCATGATGGGCATCTTCCATTTTTGGGAACAACTGAAATCTCAAGCCATAAACCACAGGGACAGTTTGCAGCAAGAAGATTTACCCCAGGTAAGCCTTCCATTTCCCTATTGAGAAACCACTGCAAGGCAAGAAAAGAGTAATCAGGACAGATGACTTAATTTGAATGCTTGAATTTCTGAACTATGAACTCTGAAACAGCTGGTTTTCAATTTCAGCCCTGCGTTGACACAACTGAACTGTCAGGTAGGAAGCCCAGGATGCCCCTAAGGATTGAGGATGTTTTAAGAAGAGTCATATTGAGAAAAGGAATGATGGTGGGGGTAGAGATGGGCTGTGACACAGGAAAAAAGGAGGTGGGTCCTCAGAAAGCTCTATCTCCTGTGAAAGGCCATAAGCAGGCTCAGGTACCTACACCCTGACCTGGTTAAACCATCAGCAACCAGGAGAGCTGCTACAAGAAGAGAGGGAAGCTGATGGAGAACTGAGGTCCTCCATAAAGACTTATAGATTCTTGAGACACCATGAGGGGACAGAAGAGGAAGGGGACAGGCCCTTCCAAGAGGTGCTGACTGGCCCATCCCAGGATGGCCAGAGGATGATGCTCTGCCCTGTAGAAATCTGGTCCTCCAGAGGAGCAAGCACACTGTGTTTAGTGAAGCACTTCAGAAAACCCAAAGGACCACCAAAGCCATTAAACAAACTCAGACCATCCCTCACAGCACCTACAAAGGAGGTTTCTTCTATTCTCCCTGACTTAATTTTGCATCACGGCAGCAAGTCTCAGGGGTTAGAAGAGCCAACTCCCAGTGATGTAACCCCAAGCATCATTTAGGGGCACTGAACACATGGGGACATCTATTTTTCAACCTATTTCCAACCACTCATTCCTCTAGTCTTGCTGTGTGCCATCCAAAATGGACGGCAGGTAAGATTAGGGTAGGTAAAATTTGGCAGGTAAGATTGGCACAGGTCTGCAACATGTATTAAAGCCATAAACATGGGGAAATCCTTTGGCACAAGAGCACAGACTCACACAAACCTACCAGCTGATGCTGCAGGGAATGATTTGATGCTTGCATATATATCCTGTATTTCTGGATAATGGTGCTACCTGAAAACAGCTTCTGCAGGAGATTATGTGTTCAGATGCACACAAAAGGCTTTAACATGCCTTCTTGAAAACAAGGAGTGGCTTGGGAGAGCTCACTTCACAAACTGTATTTAGACTGGGATTACAGCGAGGGGGTTACGCAGTGCTCCAAGCTGAGCATCACAAGTCTCATCACTGCAGCAAGGACAGATAAGCCAAGCACAGAATCACAGAACAGTCTGGGCTGGAAGGGACCTTCAAAGCTCATCCAGTCCAACCCCTGCAATGAGCAAGGGCATCTTCCCCAAGATCAGGTTGCCTAGAACCACATCCAGCCGGACCTTGAATATCCCCAGGGATGGCACATCCACCACCTCCCTGGGCAATGTGTGCCAGTGCCATTGTAAATGTTTGATGTATGTGCTGGGAAGGGTTTCTACCAGCTTTGCAAAGTTGTTTTGGATCTTCAGGCCACATTCACCTTCAGCAGGAGGGGAAAAAAGCATTTCTTATTTAAAACAAAAAGAGCAGACCCATGCATTTCGGGGCAGGGTACTTCATCTCCGCTGCTCACAGCCGCTCCCAGGCTCCAGGAGCATTCATTACTCACCTCCAAACAAACATCTTTGCTAAAATCAAGATGAAACATGGCAACCATAAAGTTTAGCAGAGCCATGGGGTTATTTTTGCTTTTCATCATTTACTTGGGCACCTTCTGACACATTTGGTTATTTAAAACACTGCTCGTGCCAATTCCTCATCCCCAACCGCAGTGGGAAGCACGTTGCTACCTGACTGTGATTTTTCTTCATTACTTCCAACAGACACCTGAGATTTTGCTAAGACCAAGTAGTTTTCACAGAATCCCAGCCTGGTTTGGGTTGGAAGGGACCTTAAAGCTCCTCCAGCTCCAACCCCTGCCACGGGCAGGGACCCCTTCCACTAGAGCAGCTTGCTCCAAGCCCCTGTGTCCAACCTGGCCTTGAACACTGCCAGGGATGGGGCAGCCACAGCTTCTCTGGGCACCCTGTGCCAGCGCCTCAGCACCCTCCCAGGGAAGAGCTTCTGCCTAAGAGCTCATCTCAGTCTCCCCTTTGGCAGGTTCAAGCCATTCCCCTTGGCCTGTCCCTACATCCCTTGTCCCAAGCCCCTCTCCAGCTTTCCTGCAGCCCCTTCAGGCACTGGAGCTGCTCTCAGGTCTCCCCTTCAGGAGCCTTCTCTTGTCCAGGCTGCCCCAGCCCAGCTCTCTCAGCCTGGCTCCAGAGCAGAGCTGCTCCAGCCCTCGCAGCATCTCCATGGCCTCCTCTGGCCTCGCTCCAACAGCTCCACGTCCCTCTTGTGCTGCTGCCCCAGAGCTGGATCAGGACTGCAGGGGGGTTCTCCCCAGAGCACAGCAGAGGGGCAGGATCCCCTCCCTGGACCTGGCGCTCACACTCGGGGTGTTAACATATTTGCTATTTTCAAAGAGAAACTCTGCAGCTATGCCCTGGGACCCTCACCCATGCTGAGCATCAAGGAGAACGCTCCTTACATCTTGGAAGAGCATGGGAACATCCCAAGAAGTAGCTCACGTTTGCACATCAGGAAGAGCTTGCACAGAGGGCTGCAACCCTTGAAGAAGCCTTGGAGATGCTCACCCCAGAGGGAAGCCAACCCCAGGAAGGTTTTGTGCACCACTGACAGAAATTTAAGAGGAACATCCTTCCTGCACATCCAGCAAGGGCCAGATCACCATATGCAGAGGAACCTAAAGGGTTACCTCCACCTGCAATAGCCATAGCAAACACCCTGCATGCATTCCTCTGGCCAGCCAGTCTGGCCTGAATAGAGAGTGAATGACAAGTGGCACCAGGAGGGTGTGAAGAAGAGCAAATAATCGAGCTGAAATGTCAAGTCAATAAGGTGAACCTGAGGAAGACGGGATGGAAAAAGTAATTTAATCATCAGGGCTTGACAGCACAACAGCTCTGTTGAGTCTTCACCACGAAAGCAGCGTGTAAGTGGTACTTTAGAACATCCTTTGCAAGCATTTTCTACCACAACTCGTTGCAGAGATTGTAAAGGGCATCCAACCAGGAGCAGCTTCTGGCTCACCTTTCCTTCCTCCCTCCTTTCCACACAGGATTTGGCCATAACCAAGACTTCTTTCACGTGCAAATGTGCACCGTGTCTTTGAAAACCCTGAAGCTGAATCTTCATCATGCCAGATGAGAACCTGACTTTTAATTTCCATTATTCTTAAGGTCTGAACACCTAAACCCCATTCTGCTTTAAAAAAGACTCAGTCTTTTGTCGTAGATTTAAGAACATCCAGATGCCTGACTGGTTGGATCCTACACTACTGGATGAAATTCAAAAGTATAGTCAGGTCTTTTTTCCCATTTTTTAAGCATTAATCCATTTTCACCTCATATTTACTATCAGAGGGCTTGGAGATGCCACAGGACTTTAAATCATTGTGCTAAATGCCTGGCTGGAGAAAAGAAGGTACCACCAGGGATGACCAGCATCTCACTCTCTGGGCACCAAGATTTAAAACCCTTCCAGAATGCACGCTTTTCACTCTCATAAATAAGACTGAACATAGCCTTATAAATAAGCCCAAACCTAGCC